TTCTAACGTTGTAAGGTTGATTTTTTTTAAATCATTATATCATCGGTCCGTGTCGATTATTGGGCCCTTTTTTTTGGGGGGGGGGGGGTCGTGTTCGGTGGAGGGTATGTGCCCCCCCCCCCCCTTCCATCGGTAGAGAAACGTGAAGCTGCTCCTCTGAAAATCAGACCGCAGCTAAACATGAACACACTGCGCCTGAAGGGCAGAATAAAGGCATCACACTTCATTCAGATCATCATTTGATGCTGAATGCTGGACTTTCTATAAGAGAAGGGACTTTTTAGGTGATGATGATGATGGGGAGGAGGAGGAGGAGGAGGCCGAGGCCGTGTGATGAAGCACTCCTGCAGCCTTGAAATAATTGATGAGTTGAGCCATTCTCGGGTGTGCGGTGACATCCTGTGTTTTCCGATGGAACTGTTGTACCTGTAGTACTGTTGTACCTGTAGTACTGTTGTACGCTCAAAAACATCCCTCCATTGTCATTCCGTAGACAACCACGTTATTGAATATTCATTTCATCTTCATGCAGGAATACACCCAGGTGGCATTTCGTAAAGGCTGACATGCCGGTAGCACGGACTATTAAATGTCACTGGTTTTATGGAAATGGCGTGTAGCTGTGAGAAGATGCCGTGTAAAAGTCAAAGAGTTTTTCAGGTCAGGCTTTACGCAACAAACTGTAATCAGATGCTTCAACGCTGCCTTTGGCCTCTTTCTTTTTTGTGAAAGTCCACACACAGTGGGACCATTATTTTCCTATCCAGATCGGCACAGAGGTGTCCGAGGAGGGAAAACACGACACCGCTTCCCCGCACTGAAGGGGGGTTTGTGCTGCTTGTAAATTGATGCCGGTCTGTTATTCTGATCTGCAGAAAGCGCTTGCAACATTTGGTAACTGTGCAGGCTTAGTGGCTGCTGCATCTAGAGCATCTTTAGTGGAAATGCATGTGATGGAGAGTGCGACAGAGCTTTCATAAATAGGAATTAGGTTTTATAATCCCGATGCTCTTGGAAGAGGAAATAGTAATCAGATTTATCTGTGACACACACAGTTCATTCCCTGTTTCTGCAGGGCCGTAGATAACCCAAAATAGACTGCATGCCTTAAATCACTATTTTATTTTAAACAACAGGGTAAGAGCTCGACAGCAGCTGTCAGGTTTGTTGTGAACAACAGCTGTTGGTGCAGAGAACCATTGAAAACCAATTCTATCCGCCAACAGAAGTAACTGATGCAACAAATAAACACAAGGACAACATGAAGATTGAGTCATGCAATAGCAGCTGAGTAAATATACAAAAATACATATTTACTTTCATTGAAACTGTGTGTGTGTGTGTGTGTGTTAGATTTGGGAGACTGGGTGAGCACGGTTCGATCCCAGGTCCTCCAAACGCGTGTCCATGGGCAAGACCCATAACCCCAAAATTGCTCCTGTATCCGGAGCATTGTGTGCACACAGGGCCCTCCTGTGAGCGGTAGCTCCTGTCAGCGGCGGGTGAATGGCTGAATCCAAAGACTAGAAAAGCGCTGTACAAGTACAGTCCATTTGTGCTCCTGCAGCTCACAGAATAACCCGACATCTGATAGAGGATTGCAGGCGCGCACACACACGCACACACACACACACACACACTGGTAATCAAGCCGGTACGTGTGAGACAGATGGACTGCTCTAAGATAATGAGGAAGGATGTGTGTGATTCTTCTTTCTTTTCCCGTCTTTTCGACCAGTCACAGTCACGTGGGGGAAGTGCTGACTACCAGAGCGCTCACTTCATATCTTTCAACAAACTGCCTGTCAATTAGTCGGCCGGATCTTTACTCTGTTCGGCACGTGAGGACCGAGAGGCAGCGAAGGAGCTGTGATAGATCAGGTAAACGTACCTCTGGTTGATTTGACTGAGCCATGCTATTTACATAGAGCTTTGCATAAGGAAATGCTTTGGATTTGATTTCACATTTTCAGTATCTGCAGCGTTATATTTATCTTTTAGTCATGCCAGGGAGGCGATTAGTCGGAGCTGGAAGCCTCATGTATGCCTTGCAGCCACCTAATTTCTTATTTATCCTCGCTCCGATCCAGTATTGTCAGCTTTCTAAAGCCCTTCAAAATCACCGTTTGTATTTTTAGAAAGAAAAGCTCTTATCTTTTTTATGAGTAGATAAGCCTTATTTCTCTATAAAGGCAATACATGTGGTTAGAATGGTACAAACTGTGCTAAAAGCTTACATAAATGTTTCCATTGCCAGGGAACCACCTGGTGGGTTTCACACCTCAATTCTCCCAAACGGCGCAGTAAGTGCTTGATAATCTTGTAAAACTGTATTGGAACTATATACAGAACCGTTAACCTTATGCATGTATTATTCACTGTATTATTCTACTGTAATGAGCAGCTAACAGTCTCAACCCTTTTAACAGTATAGGACCATTGTCCCACAGTTGGATACATTATTACATAATTGCGCTGTGGGGTTAAACGAAGTGGATCATAGCGCGCACAGTACCTACAACCCTTTAACTAATGTAAGCACTGGTCTCTGAACTTAAAAAATTAAATATATTTTTAATTAAAAGAAAAAAGCTTTTTGGAATTTACTATGCTAACGTCTAGCAAAGGAACAACGCGAACAAGATTAAACATAACTCTTCCATGTCTTCGTCAGAAAGGGCAGTTTATTGCCTCATTGTTCATGTTGAAAAGACGATCAAGGGTCAGAAACTGAACTGTTATCTGTCCGAACTCTCTAACGTAGTGGCTGGCTCAGTTAAGTTGTTAGGTTCAAGGTTCTGCACGGCAGGCGAGTTGCTCAATCACCTCGTCTATAGTTTACTAGTCAGTGCTTATCTGTCCTGCAGGGGACAACTTGGGGACAATATAACCGCTGTGGGAATGTGTGCGTTTAAGTGAGAGATGTTTCGAGTCAATTGAGGTCGGCTAGTTTGACCAAGAAGTTTTCACTTGCTTCAAATGCATGTTTTTTTTTTTTCACCTTGAAGCCACTCTCCTCTTTATTTAGTGAATTGCGGAATGACCTTGCATCCTTTGCAGACTTTTAAGTGCCGCATTGAAGCGACTCAAATACCAGTTCCCCTGCAGTTTCCTGATAGATTGTGAGTCTTCTTCCTGCTTTGAGAATAACAGGAATTCCTTGGGGATTTTTGTCGGTGAGTAGCGCGCTGCAGTCTCTGCACACTGAGGCTACTTCTTTGCTCACAGACTCCAATTGTCACCACGAGACGGTCCAGCCGAGCTACGACTGGCGGTTAAAAAAAATGTCCCGCTGCAGGCAAGCGGCGAGCGCGAGGGACGAGGAGGGCGACGCCAGTTTGATGGGTTACCCATAAAGACGGCAGTGCTCTCCACCATACATCTTCTCCCCGGTCCTACCGCTAACAGAACCGTGGACAGTCTGCAAATGATTCTCTTGGGGGAATCTGTTTGCTGACTGGAGTTGAGATCAGGTGGAAATCAGTGACAGGAAAACAAAAGGGAAACAAAAGTAGTGTGCTTTTAGTGAAAAAAGGGTGTAACCGTATCACAACTGGAAGAGGAAATGGCCAGGAGGGCTTTGAAGTCTCAGCAGCAGGGAGGAGAAATGTGACTCGCTGACCTCCAGTCCTCCCTCCTCCATGCCTGGATCTGCCAGCGGGGGCCTCAAGGGCCCGTCCAAACCAAACAAACCAGACCGCAGCTGCATTCGTGCCTGGATGCAGTTATGCACAAAGCTAAACGTCCACACACGCTCTGCAATCGCGCCGAAGCAGCATCTGAGGAATTAGTGATTCTGGTCGTCGTACGAGCTGCTTCACACCAAAAAAAAAAAAAAAAGTCAGCAAATATCTGAGACGGAAAAGCTGCGTTTGTGAGTCGTGACTCGTGACTGAGGGAAGTGATGGGGGGGTGGGAGGGGGCTGTGAGGAGGAGGCGCGCTGTGATTGGTTGACGCAGGGGTGGAGAGAATGACAGGAGAAGTGGGAAGCATCTTTTCATGTCTGAAGGAGCACTTCCAACGTGGAGCATCTGCATCACTTACGTTTCATCTGTTTGCGGTTTTAGCAGGACGGAGCTCCTCCAATGGATGACTTCCCCTCCACGGCCCCACAGTGAGGGAGAACATGTCTGACGCACACTGATGCTAGAGTGGTTTTAACATCTAAAGCTCTATTTTTGATAATTACGGAAATCTATCTTAGTACTGACAATAGGTCACATTTTGTTGTTTTGTTGATGTGCTGATTCAACAAGTCGATCGACGAATGGTGAACAGCAACTATTCAATCTTCTCAATGGGGGGCGATTTGTGCTGTGAGAGTTTTTTCCGTGTGTTGTGTGTCGCTCATGCGAGGCTAAGACTGACCCGCCACTCCACCTGTGACGGAGCGCCGTGTCTGGCATGAGTCAGAAATATCTTCTTACTGCCATACAAGCCTCAGCCCTCAGGAGGAGGATTCGCTTTCTGCAGAACAAAAAGTCAATTACCAAGAAGCATTAATGTGGGGAATTTGGTATGAAATGGAGAGAATAATTGCAGGGGGGGTTGGGGTAGAACTAGTTCTTGTGTATTTTAGGTGGGGTACCAGCTGCAGCGTTTTTTAAAGCAATATTTCTTCACTCCATCTCTCGATAGTTATTTTTTTAACATGCTTAATGTGACCGTTGCTATTTCTTCGCAGACACCTGCTAGATTGAACTAACTGTCACTGCGAGCTCACGATTAGACGGCATAAATCCACCCGGACAGCCACACACTCCTGTGATCAACGGGCCGCAGAGTGACGAGCTAACGGAGCTAAGAGCTAAGATTGACACCTTGAACAGCCGGGGCTTCAGATAGATGGCAGACAAGCAGATCAGGTAAAAGAGCAACGCGGAACCACTTTGAGTGCAGCAGCACTGTGAACCTTCGTTCGGTTTTCCTCGGTGGACCATTTGTCGTTCATGCATATATTTTTTTTTCCTCCTGTCCAGTTTGCCCGCCAAATTGCTCAATGGGGGGATCGCTGGCCTGATTGGAGTGACCTGTGTGTTTCCCATCGATCTGGCCAAGACTCGCTTGCAAAACCAGCAAAATGGATCTCGCCTTTACACCAGCCTGTAAGAAGTGTCTTCATTTGACTTTTTGCAGATGAACACGTGCACATATCGCTGCGCTGTGGTCAGTCGGCTAATCTGTTATCCCCCCCTAGTCAGTCACCAGATTAGCTGAATAACACACCGCCCCTGTTGTGTTTATGTTGCAGGTCAGATTGCCTTATTAAGACCATCCGGTCGGAGGGCTATTTTGGGATGTACCGAGGTACGTTTTTATTATTTCATCTTACATCATGTGACTGTGAGGAAAGAAATGAGAGTAAATGAGAAATTAGAGCATTAAAGCTGTTCGGTGCAAAAGGTCTTCAGTTTCATAATGAGACTGCGGATATTAAACACTTGGATCTGTGTTTGAGTGCGACAGGCAATTATTTCCCGTTCTCTCCGTCTTGTCTGTGTTTCTTCTTCTTTGGTCCTCTCCCTTTCTTACTCTGCGTCCTTTTCATCCTCCCAGGAGCGGCGGTGAACTTAACACTAGTCACGCCAGAGAAAGCCATCAAATTGGCTGCCAACGACTTCTTCAGGCAACACCTCTCCAAGGATGGGTGAGCCATGAACGTGCTGACAGGCTGACTGACACACACACACACACACATTTATTCTGTGAATAACTGGCGTGTTTACTAACATGTAACAGCACACGTTTGCTGTCTGTATTTTCACCAAGGCTCTAGTACCTGTTAGTAGTATTTCATGGTCCGTAAACAGTCTGGTTTAAAAATCCAAAATCACCTGTGTGTGTGTGTGTGTGTGTGTCAGCACAGTGCTGTCTGAAAGTAAAGTGATGGTATCAACCGCCCCTCGTTCCCCCCCCCCCACCCCCCCGAGAAAAACCTGAAGGTTTGTGGGGCGTCTATCTCCGTCCCGTCGGTGACAAACAAGCTGATGAATGATTGACTTGTCTTGCACAGCCGCTCACCATGTGAATTATTAATCTGCCCGTGTGTCGGACATGTTGATGCAGAAGACAAAGATAACTCCTTTTTTTTTTTTTTCAAAGGCTGCAGAAATAGAGGTGTCTTGATCGTACGCTGTCAGCCAGGTGCCCGCTTTAATCTGAGCCTTTGGTCGTCGTCTTCTTTTCTTTCAGAAAACTCACTCTGCTCAAAGAGATGCTGGCCGGGTGCGGGGCAGGTACATGCCAGGTGAGTGAGGCGCTGCTTTAATTGCATCCTTCCGTTCCCCATCTGGAACTGCAGCCTTTGCACTCCCAATGTCAGCTCACGTACGCGCACACTGAGCCTCAGCCACCGCCTCGTTTACCTCCCAACCAGCAAATGAGAGGAGGCGGACACAGAAACCTGCTCGCCGTCTGCGTCTGCGTAGATCGTCCCCGTTATCTGTGACATAAATATCCACTGTAACCGTCTGTTTTCATGAATGATTTCTAATCAGTGAACTGTTGCCCTGTTAGCAGGCCGCACACTGGCAGCTAGATTTGAGTGATCAGATAAGACACTGGGAGCGCTTGGCCATGTGCACCGGGGGAGTGAGTCAGAGGGAAATGCCTCTTGTCAATGAGGTCAAATTCTTCAAGCCCGAGGAACATGATTAGATTATGTGTAGCAGACCTTGGATTAAGATTGCACCTGAGAACATGGTCATCTCATCCCCAATCCAGTTAACTAGTTACTACTGTGTGGATTACCAAGGAAAACAAAGTTTACATGTGGCCGATGGATGCCAGTGGAGTTACACTGAACACATGAAACTCAACCTAATCAAACCGTGTGAGGAATGTGCATTGGTTGACACTGTCCAACAGTTTTTGTTGTTTTGCTTTGCTGCAGGTTATTGTAACAACTCCTATGGAGATGCTGAAAATCCAGCTCCAAGATGCTGGACGAATCGGTGAGAGGAAATTCCATCCTGATGGTAGTTTGTGCAAAAGAACGAAGTGTAGGGGACAGACTATGGAAATATGGCCTCTCGTAGTTATGTCGGAGATTGCAAGTGCTTCACTATGGTTTTATTTTTTACAGTTATGAATTCAAAATGTGTGTCCACATACCCGCCCGTAGTTTAGTTTGTGGTAGTTTCATATGCAGCCCTTGCTGTTTATTAACGTTGTGTTTCTTACACTCCGCAGCGGCTCAGAGGAAGCTGATGCCTGAGACGGTGGCAGCAGGTTCTGTGGAGCCCAAGTCTCCAACAGCCATGCAGCTCACCAGGGAACTATTTAGGGAAAAGGGTATCGCTGGGTTGTACAAGGGCCTCGGGGCCACCTTGCTCAGGTACAGCAGACCTCGCAACTTGTCCTACCGACCGGCTTCAATGTACATCACATGACCCGCTGCATTTTGTCTCATTTTCCAGGGATGTTCCTTTCTCCGTCATCTATTTCCCCCTTTTTGCCAACCTGAACAACCTGGGCAAAAGGGGCGCAGAGGGGCCCGCTCCCTTCTACGTGTCCTTTGTGTCCGGCTGCCTTGCCGGCAGCACCGCGGCTGTTGCCGTCAACCCCGTTGATGGTGAGCAGTGGGAGGGGGGGGACGGGGGACGTGGCTAGAGCAGTGTGTGTCTAGTGTGTGTTCTGCATTCAAGCCGATGCCATGTATTCACCGGAGCCCCGTGTGTTGCAGTGATAAAGACCAGGCTGCAGTCGCTGAACCGAGGCAGCGCAGAAGACACGTACAGTGGAGTGACTGACTGTATCAGGTGACCTCATTGTGTCTTTACTGCTGCGGCACGTGTGGCGATGCATGTGTCCAGTCAAATCATCGTGGATTTCAGTGCATTTAACACATAAAGAGTATTTCAAGACTACTATGAAACGGCAGCAACACACAGCTGGTACACTATTAATGAAGACCAAATAACAACTCCTGCTGGCCCATAGCTAGCGGCAGCTGCATGGTTCACTTTCAATAACCTGATTTCATTTGCTCTCTAGGAAAATCCTGCAGAATGAGGGACCCTCCGCCTTCCTGAAGGGAGCCTACTGTCGAGCTCTGGTCATTGCACCTCTGTTTGGGATCGCCCAGGTGGTCTACTTCTTGGGCGTGGGCGAATATATTCTCAGCTTCTTGACTAAAAAAGAGCACTAGGAAGCCCGTCCTTTCTGCCTTTCCCCTCCCACAATGCATCCCGCCAACTGCACTCACCTCATTCTGAAAGAAATTTTCAATGGGTCTAAGCGTGAGTGGTCAGTACATGTTGTTTTGAATTTATTGTGTTGAATGTTGAAGTACTTTAGGAGGGGGCCTTTGTTTGCCAAGCTGCCTATGGTGGCACACACAACAATCCAGTAGGCGTGCTGAGCTAGCTCTCTGGAAATTGGAAGCCACGGATATCAGTTTTAAGTTTTAATTTCCACATTTTATGGCATTTTCTCTAAATGATTGTCAAATTTCCAAAGTACATGTACTGCCCTTGGTTGCTGTGGTTCTCTCAGGTCCACGCAACCTCATTTTAAATCACATTAGTAGCTGAATAACAGAGAAGACCATAGTGATCTATTGAAAATGATACATCATAGATTAAATGCACATACTTTAAAACATAGGAATATAGTACTTTCTAAAAGAATGCTATTCAAAGAATTGCCCCAGACCGTTTGTCTTATAAATATAGTATATTTAGAGTTAGAGCAGAACATAGAGTATGCCTCGTGTTCAGACAAAGACCCAGGGACATGCAGCCTTTGATTGCCTTGGCTTTTTAGACTGGATCAGGTTCCATTTGATATTTACTGCCACCACAATGGTTTGACTGTCTTGCCTCAGTGAAAAAGATATCTCCTGTTTCACATTCACAAGCTGAACTTAAGGGACAGTGTTCAAAACCCGGGCAGTACGCACCCCTCCCCAACCACAGGCACGCGCTGCTCAAAGCAGCCTCTGTGCTCCTTTCCACGGGTTGGAGCTGTCATGCATGTCCACCAATTACAGACGTCAGGGCAGGAGTTGGAGAGACGATGGAAAACACCTGCGGTGACGTTTGATTCGTTGTGGGCTCAGATGAAAGCTTCAGCTTGGAGACCTACCTGTGTCCAGGTAGTCATTTTAATACGGTTAGGGTTATTAGATTTTAAAGATGGACAGACAGACGTTCCATGAGCACAGTCATCCATTGTGGAGCCAGTAAGACCTTCGATGAAGGAGTTCAAACCACTTTCGATCCAGACATAATTATTATTGTTTACAGATGAGGTCACTCTCAATTTAGATTATTTTGTCCGATTCGTTGGCAGGACCCAAAGAGCTAATGGTACATTTTTCTTTATCCGAAAATCAAGGCAATGTGTTTTCTGCGCTCTATGATTTTACCAAACATTTGCTTTAGAGGTTTTGTTTGCTTTAAGCTGCAAAGGGAAAGCAGCCTCGTCGTATCTTGTTTATGCATCACAACACTGAAGCCCCGCCATTGGTTTATCTCGCCGGAGATCAAGGTGACTTTGATACGTATTATCCAATCACATTCCTTCCTCGCTCCCACTGTTCAAGCAGCTCCTCAATTATACCGCTGCACCGTAGATACGCGATGCAACTTTTCAATGTCTTATTGTTTGTGGGAGTGAGATCTCTTTATCAGATATCCTTTCTATAGGCAGTATAGCACTATATATTTGTATGTGATGTTTTTTCTGTGTCAAAGTGTCCACCTTAACTTTATTGTAAATATGCAGATAAAATGAACCATATGTTTTAGGATTTATTCTTTTGGTTTGTACATGATGGCTTATTTGCACACCTACCTCTCCAGCCCCCCCCTGCCCCCACGCCCTCAAATCCATAATATGGTGATTTTATGTTCTGATGATTTGGACATATCAAATGAGGGAACATGTTTTACTGCAGCAAACATCATTTGAACCTGCAGCATGTTGATGAGGTTTTTTGGAGGTTCCATTGCTCCTGAGCTGTTGGTTAAGTTGGTCTACCTATTGTCCAGTTTCTTACAGTTTTATCACCCGGGACCAAACGGAACAGCATTTTAATGATGCTAGAAAGGTTAGGAGGCTTTAGGGGGATGGCCTCTGGGACAACTGAAACTGTTCCGCGAGTGCAATATCATCATAAATTACAGCCTGAACGAGGCTTTAAGGAACCTGCTGACGTCAGACTGTAAACGGTAACGTCGCTGCCCGGTGCTTCTTTCATAAGGTGACTGCAATGTGACATTGGTGGCACCAACCGCCAAGGCTGTGCCGGCTGAATCACATGCCAGCTAGAGAATCTCAACGTCTTAACGGAAAGCCATAGGTGAGGGAGGCACATTAGAGCCGCGGGACGTGGACCGGCCCCTCCAGCCGGTGGGCCAACAGAAGAAAAAAAAGACCCATCCAGTGTAAACTCGTCAATACTGTTGTCGTTTCTTCCACATTCCGATGGCCAGTTCATCTCACGTATTGCTGTTTTATTGTAATAATGCGACTTTGTTATGATTTGGAGAACCCCCCCCCGTCCCACCAGCCCCTCCCGTGTTGTTTTCAGATGCTTTATTTCCTGTATCTTTGGTTGAATCTGGAAAATGTTGTGCAAAGTCATTTTGTTTAACTCAGCTGTGAATCTTCACTGACCTTGTGCATTTGGTGGTATATGTGCGTGTGTCGAATTGTGTAGTTCCGTAGTGATGCGTAGTTGTTAGTGTGAACACGGCGGTATTTCTCTCTTTGATTGTCTGACCCGTGTTCTGTCCCCTCCTTCGCTTCTATCTTTCACACTCCTCTGCCATCTACCCCCCCCCCCCCTCTCCCCCTCCCCCCAGCATGCTGGGGCTGCAGGTTAACACAGAGGAGCTCTGAAACACCAAATGTATGACTTTGAGTGTGTACAATCAAAGAAAGCACAAAGGATTAGTAGGCACAAGAGACGCGTGGCCCTCTTTGGATACACTCTTGTTGGAACGTACTCTTATCTCTTGGTGTATTCAAGTTGAGGTGTCAATTGCAATGAGCTTTTTAGGCTTTGTAGGAAAGTTTATCGATGTCTGTAAAACTTGATCCATAGGGCTGCGACGACAGGTCACTGACCCATGTGATGGTGTCCACAATGTCATCCATCAGCAGTTATCCACAAAATGTATATCGCCTACATATTCTAAATGAATCAGATATAAGAATGTATCTTAGATATTATGAGATGTATTATAATTACAGTGAAGAGTTTATTACATTTTAATCTAAAGATCTGTGCTTTACACATTCTCTGAAACGGTTCAAGAACCAGCTCACTGATATGCAATAAGTATAAACCACACAAAGACGCACACTAGGAAGAAAAAAAAAAACGGTGAACACAGAAAAAAAATATCTTCTACAATGTATGATGCAAGTGGGGAAATTGGAGGCCTTCTGGGGTCTCTCCACGGCCTCCGTTGTCTTCCTCCAAGAGGAATCGTGCAAAACGGCACTTTAAAATAGGGACCCTCGCCCAACTGTCCATCTGCAAAGTCTCTGTGTGGCCAAGGGGGTGTTTATTGAAATGTGTGGTGAATGACACGGTTGTTCTAGACATTGTTGACAATGCAATTGGAAAAAAAGAAAAAGAAAAAAACCCCAGTGTTCCCTTTTCACAATTTGCTGTTCAATAAACTGACTGTCCTGAAAACGTCTGCTGCGGTCTGTGCTGTGGGTCACACATTGTCTTCTCTTTTTATCACACGCTGCATCTGCAGTAGCCGTCCGAGGGAAAGCAAAAACGAGCACGGCGCTGCCGGTTTCCATCTCGAATCGTACTGTGAAAGCAACACAGCGGTGCGAAAGTCGTTTTCTCAGGGAGTGCCGGCCTGACGACGTGGCTCCTCGGGGGCACGAGAGCCACGTCGTGGTGCCCCGGTGGAGCCACCAGGTGTCAGTGTGGGGTTGTGGGAGAGCTGTGAGGGCTGCTGGGGTGGCACTGGGGTGGAGTGTTGTACTACAGGTGTACGCTCCGGTTACGGGCGGTGTGGCAGCAAATCACAGGCGCCGATTTCACTCTGTGTCCATCTTATTGTCAGCCGTGCTGGTCTCCACGGCTTGTAGCTCAAGCCTCAGCGGCAGTGTGGCTTCACTTGATAAACAAGGCGTTTCTGTGTGTTTACAAGTTGCTCTATAGGAATATAAAAGTGTCTTTTCTTTTTTTTTTTTTTGATTCTCCCCGGATGTTTGAGGTCCATAAATCCCACATTACTCCTGAATGTGTCTTAGCCGAACTGCAGTCTTGACAAGGCGTTATTCATCATTAATCCCCTGCTGTTTGCTACGCATTCAACATTACAGTTTATAGCCTTTTATGCCTGAATGCTATTTAGCAGCAATAATTAAATCTCAGTGCCTTCATATAACCTCACACACACACACACACACACACACACACATAAATGGATTTGCGCCGTCTTGCAACGAGTGCATTTCTGCATGCAGCTCTTATTTCGACCAGAGTCTGATTTCGTATTGAATGTGTCCCTCTTTGAGAGGCTCCTTTCATCATCTCCTCCAGTGTTTACACACACTGGAGATCGGGCTCAGTTTCAACCAATGACCAGACTTTGAAATGTAGAAATGTGCACCTGCCACTGTTCTTATCCTCACTGGAATCCTCTTTATGTGCCAAAAGACTTCCGCTCCCGCCATTGAACTGGTCTTTCGTGCTTTCTAGCAAGTGGAGGAGAGAAGGTGGAGGAAAACCAGGACGGAGTTGAGCTTGAGACAATGACGGAGGTACGGGGTAAATCACAAGGTGGAGACGGGGAGGGGTCGCCGATGGAAGACGCAGAGAGCCAGAGGAAAGGAGGGGATGGTGTTGATGTGTATATATATATATAGGTCACTGAATCAATGGGAATCAGGTTTTTGAAGGGGAAACAAGGGGGTATTTATAGATACCAGTGGAGACAGATGCATCAGTGACAGGCACAATCATGCTGGGAGCACAGGAGGGAGAAAATCTGGGAACAGATTGTGGTCAAATTAGCCTGTAGAGAATTCTCCTAACATAAGGGAAAAGATTCTCAATAGTGATCAAATAACAGAGCGCAGCGCAAAACAAAATATAATCAAGTGGAAATCACTGCAGAAGGCTTTGAGCAAATGACCTTCCCCGCTCTATTGACAAAACGCAGGCAAACTCTTATTTGCGGTGTTGCTCACAGCATTTGCATCTATAGTGCAGCTCAACTCATATCCTTTTGAAATGAACTGTAATCTGTGATATCAGAGAGCTCCGTGATTGAATTGAATATCAGTTCTCCATTTTGCAGCCGCGTGAAGAGAACCTTCATATTTACCACTCAGGCGCACCGAGAGCGACGGTGTAGTAGGGACAAAAAAAGAAAAACATTACGGAGCGCATTGTGAAGATTTCAGGGTCAGAGGTTATTGGTTGATGAGAAAAGCACTGTAATGATTTCTATTTTAATAATATTAATATTAAAGATGAATTACACAAGTTCTGTATAAAGCATTTCTACCAAATGGCTGAGTGGTGGTGCTGGGCTGGTGTGGTAGTTTTAGTAACTGAAATAGATTATCTTGTTTTATTTTACAAGCTTCCATTTCTCCTTCTACCAGCAAGTGACACAAAATTCCGTCACAAATGAGAAATTTGCTCTGAGAACCAAAAGGAAAGTAGTTGGAAAAAAATGATTTTACGTTGCCTCAAAGACTCAATTTTTCTAGGACTTACCGAAGTCAAGGTCATGGACAAATTGTTCCTTCACCACATACAGGGCTGTGTGTGTGTGTGTGTGTGTATGAATATGTGTATTTTGCCAGACAGCCTGAGTACTGGGTGTTTAAATAATCTACATCTCATTTTGGGGGAGTTTTTGGAAAGCAGCCACATCACCTTTCATCAAATAAAGTGGCCGAGGACGCAGCTCTTAATCTCTGGCCTACGCCTAATAATGTGGTCAATAAACTCACAGCAAAGAGTTGTGACTACAGGACCATCTGAGGCCCGTTCATATAAGTGGTGAGGACACGATATGCAGCATGATCGAAGTGACGGAGGCAGACGGTCCTCATGTCGTTTCCTCTCCTCATGAAATGCGTTGATGTTGCTTTAATGACTAATTAGTGATCGTGTTTTAAGAGACATAGAAGCACAAAGTATCTTGGATACTGCACTTAAGTAGTTTTAAGGTGCTTTCACTAATATGAATATTAACCTTTTTTACGCTTTATTATATTGCATGTTTTACTCCACAGCATTAATTTAACAGCTACTTTAAGGGATGCATGACACCATTATTACCATTCTTGATTGGTCTGTGGATTTTTTTTTTAAACTAATCTAATCATGGTTTAAATTACATATTATTATGCATAAGTAACATAATACCCCCGAGCCCATGAAAGGTGACATCTTCAAAGGTATTTTTGATCTAATAAACACATTCATTTTATGATGAAATGAATCATAGAAAACCAACCAATCCTCGCATTGAAGGTCTTATGGTCTGTTTTGCTTGATAAATGACTAATCAATTATCAAAATAGTACAATTAAGGTATGGAAGGTATCAGCATTGATCGGGTCCAATATGTGTATATATCTATATAGTATAAGGTTGATTAATCAGTGATCATAAAACAGTAAGCTACTATTCTGTTTGAGTTTTGTACTTGAATCTTGTTTGTAACTCTACTGAGACTCCCAATCAAGCCTTGTGTCATCACAGGCAGAGGAATCTGCTTTTATTTTGAAAGGACAATTGAGTACAAGGCTCTCAAGTTGAAGCGGAGCAAACAGACTTCTTAAAACAGCTGCAAAAAAAACAGAAAAGAATCACTTGTGTTGTGTCCTCTGAGCCACAGTGAACCGGTGGTTATTAGAGAGAAGAAGGGAGAGAGAGAGAGAGAGAGAGGGGAGGGAGGGAGGGAGAGCAGAGACAGAGAGGGAGGGGGACAGTGAGAGTCTCAAACGGGTTAGCCCACCTATCCACTAGGAGGAGAGGAGAGGCTGTTTGAGGAGCGACCAAACAATAAACGGCTACTACTACTAACCACAACCTCGGGAGTTCACGCCAGAGGAGTACCGAGCGACCACCGAGCGACCGCCGAGACAAACGCCGTCGCGTCCTTGTCCTCGGAGTGAATTAACAGCCATGTATCTGAACCGGGAAGAGCACAACAGCAAAGGTAAGAAGGTCCTCAGAAGAATGTGGCCACTCTCTGCGAGGAGCAGCATCATGACAGTTTCAGGGTGTTTGCTTTGTGACCCGCTGCTTCTCCCCCGAGGTGACTCCCCCCGGCGAGGTGTCACCCCCCCCCCCCACCGGGACGCCTTCTTTCCTTCCTTCCTTTTATTCTGCCCTTCTTCTCCTTTGACACGGGGGGGTTCTGTAGAAGTGGGGCTGTCCTTATTGTAACTTGAGAGCGGTTATTTCCCTCTAGGAGAGAGCTCTAACAAATAGCCCCCCCCCCCCCCCTTCTCCACCCAACCCCCCCCCTGCCTTTATTTCAATGCGCCGTGTGAACCTGTTGTGGACGGAGGCACTTTTCTCACATGCATCCTTCTACCTGTCGTTGTCCCACGCTGTGGACACATTGACCACGCACGAGACAAGGTCAAAGCCTGTAGCAGGCGCGCGGGCTGCTCGTGGTGCTCCGGCGTACTTAGTGGACCGCGGCTCGTTACTTAACGGGGAGCGGTGCCGGTGCTGCAGCGAGGGGGGTAAAGGGGGCACGAGACATATTCGAGTCTGCTTTCCCACGTGGGTGGGTGGGTGGGTGTTTTTTTTTTTTTTTTGAGGCGTTATTTTTTTTTCTCGACCGCGAGTCCTTTGCTGTTATCACGAAGCATGAATAACTCCCTGGGGGGGTCATGTTAATTACAACACAAAATTCAGATTATAAGGGGAGAATAACACCTGCTGCTACCGAGGACCAGGGGAGGAAAAGGGAGGAGTGGGAGGAGTTATCGCCCCCCCCCCGTGATGTGAGATAATGTGATCTCCCCTCACACGGACGACGCACGCGGCTGTGCGGGGATGAGGCCGAGCAGCAGCAGCATCCTCCGTGTGTGTGTGTGTGTGTGTGTGTGTGTGTGTGTGTGTGTGTGTGTGTGTGTGAAGAAGTTGCAACCATTGCTTCAGGTGGAGGATGGAGGCTACCAGAGCTACTTATGTCCTGAAAAAGTTCGTGGGAACCAAACGAATTACTGTGTTTTTCAGTAATTAATTGGCTAGCCTGATGCTAATTAGCAACGAACAAAATTTTTTCTGACAAATAAGTCCATCAACTAGCATTGGCCTGCAATATTTCAGTTAATGCTGGATGGGAGGTTTTTTTTTATAAGCAATCACAGCTAAGAAAAGTGCGAAAACCTCGAAATGACCATATTATTAAGCACGGAATCCTTTGGATTGCACAGCAGTGTCAGCGGGTTGGTCGGTTAACCCTTCACCTTCGTCATAACTACTATTAATGGGGCGACATTTGACAATCAGAGCACTGAAATATCAGAAAACTACTTTATGCTCTGCAATGATGTAACTTGGACGGAGTCACTCTTTGTATGTAACACCTTGCTTTGTTTACAACAATTATTTGGTACGTTTCCCAGAAAATGAATATGTAGATATCCTGATCATTTAAAACATGCTCACGTTTTTGAGCCTCGTCATTTTGTGTGACTCAGACTTTTTTTATTTAACGCATTCATAAGAAAGAAACAGCGTCTCTGACGTGCTAGCGTGGCTAGCTCTTTTCTTGTTGAAGGTCAAAGCTGGATGCAAAGGGGAATGTTTTGAGTACAACAGACTGTATCGTGTACGGGTCCTCATGCTCCAGGAGTTTATGGTTGTTTGTAGCCGGTGTTATGCGAGCTAAGAAGATCAGGAGTGTGAAGTACTGAAGTAATTAAAGGCAAGATGTTGCCCAGTTGCACGTAACTGAAAACCCCTGTTAGTCATTCGGATCTTCCCAGTGATAAACGCACTGCAAAGTTCTGAGTGGGCCACTACTGACGTGTTGGGGCTTAAATAAATGGCTCAATACTGGATAGCGGCGCGTTTTAATTGATTTATGTCGGTGGGTGTTCCTTTCCGGCGGGTGTTTCCCTCGCTGCGCCGCTGTGGCCTTGAAATTCTCCCCGCACCTCAAGGTGTAACGGCAGCGAGACGGTGAAAGGTCTGCCAGGGATATTTATCGATTATGGCCTGAGAGGATTGAACGGGGATCAGGACAAACAGGTTGATCATATGACGCCGACAATCACACAGACCACTGGCCACTGTCAAATAAACATCTGAAATAAGACTGCATGTGGGCTCCGATCAATACCACACACACACACAAAAACAGGATAGTGCAGAAAGGGAGAATGCGCGGTGTAAGTGGCAACCTACTATTGCCTCTTCAGGGTGACGGCTAAATGGATCATTATTTATACCCCCTGGAAAACATTCAACAACTATTTAGACACCTTACTGATTGTTGAGAATGCAGCAGCGTGGGCTCCTGCCGGCTTTGATTGTAGGCCATTAAGAGACAACCTGGGGATGATCAGAACACCCAGTGCACATGCAGCCAATCTCCCGTTATCAGAGTGAAATTAGTATTCATGAAACGTATCTGATGCTTTAAAAGGGCAGTCTGTTTAGGAGTACATTTCAGTGTGAAATAACAGGAAGGTGATGGCCGTGGTCCCTTCACTTTGTTCGTTTTTTGAAGTTCAAATTTGAAAGAAAGATTTAACAGTACTTTACAGTAATTATGCAAACAGACGACGTGTTTCATTTGTCAGTGGTTTCATTATTGGGTCTGTGTGAGGCTCCACACATGAAGTGTGTGTTTCTCCTATTTGACCGTCACCAGCAGGTGTGAAAAATCTGTCAGGCAGGCGGCATCTTGTGAAACGCTACACAGACTCACTTCTATTCCCACTTCAGAAAATGAGAGGCTTCTTTCCCACTGAAACAAAATTGTCAGGGGACCGATGGTGAATTAGGAGCTTTCCAGCGTATTCTATTGATGACTGTTTTGATGAACTGACTGCAGTGGACCTGATGCCTTTATTGATTGATTCAACTGAGGAGCAATGCTTCAGGTACAGGCTTGTTTTGGATAGATGCGTCTGAAGGGGGACTTGTGGTTTACTGACTTCATGTATTATGCATATTCAGCCCGATCAGTATAACTGGCAGCAAGAGGTGGATCAGTAATACAGCAATGTCCCCAGGTGACGCAGTCCTCTTTCTGCAAAGTCCAATTCAGCCCATGCAGGAAAGTACATAATGAATACATCAGTGTGGAGCGTCCCTCGTTGCCTTTGCAGCATTAAGTATTATCCCTCTGTCAACATTTTGTCATCTCGCTCCCTTTTGAGACGCTGTCTGGAGACTTTGGGCATCTGGGGCAATTTACGTCAAATGTATTTGGTGCGTGGTCCTGCACTCCGAATGTCTGGCATCCCACACTATCTGCCACTTGAATATGATATATGGTAAAAAGTCAGGCTGGCTATTGATTTAGGTTGATGCTCGCCTTGCATTTGGGCCGGAGTCTATGTCTCCTGCCAGCAGTCACCAATCTAACAGACAGAAGTTTGGCATGCGCGGCCAGCGCTGCACTAACACAGATCCTCAGGTAGACCTTTTTTCTTTTTCTTTTTTTTTTTTTTTTTACCACCCTTGCACATAACTCATCAACCTTAAAAGGTTGGAGACGATTATTATGGAAGGAATACCGCAATTGTTGAGGAAGATAAACTTTTAGAAAATTGTTTATGGTAATTTGACCGACCTCATTCTGACCCACCGTAATTGCTCCTTTTAGCCACTATACGATGACATTTTGTACAACCATTCGTGGTCACCGCAGGTCAACGTTTTATTCAAAAAGAAGTCGTTCAATAATAACCAAATGTCCTTCATTATGCCCTTTCCTTCAGCAGCTGGTTGTACACTAGCTTGCTGGTGTAAGGCCCGCAGGATATTGACCGCTAAGGAAATGAAATGGTAAATGGAGTGGATTTAACATGGTGTGAAGTAGAAGTGCGTTAGGATGCGAGTCCATAAACTCTTTGCTATTATTATTGCCCTGTAGAAATTAATGATGTCCCTCTTTTCTTCATGGCTGTTTTGCTAATGTGGGATGGACGATTATTTTAGGGGATTGCTGTGGCAGTAATAGTGCCCCTTTAGAGCAAAATTAATATAAGAACAGCTGGATGCCAGTATAAAAAGGTATCATTGAGGGCTTAATCCAACAATTCTATATTTCTATGATCAAACTTAAAAGGAGGATTACTGCAGATTTGTATTCACGATGGTTTGAAGCATGGAGCTGCCGTGAGCCTCTCAGCGAGCTGTTATTGATAGCTGATGTTTAGTATGAAAATGTCATATTCTCCTATGCAGCCAGAATTAAATGGATTCGGTCTGTGAACGTAGTCGCAGCGGAGGCCTTTAGACGTGTAAGTTACATAAATTGGCAAAGGAATAGCGTAATTGTAGAGAGCGCTTAATCAGCCCGTTTGACATTCAATGGATCCATCCATCACTTGAGCTCAAGTTTATTTATCTTTGAATGGATAGTTAAACATTTAACGGCTCCAATTTACTGTGCAGATGTATGTTGTGAGCGAACTGGGATCATTCCAAGGATCCCTGGAGTCGGAGGAACAGGCACAATGCTGCGATGGAGCCAATTAGATGTTTTTTGTAGTAACACCTGCCATGAAACGCGGATTTGACCCGCTGAGCTCCTCGCCCTCCCCAGTGAAACAGGAAGCCGTATCAGCCGATTAGCACAATCACGCTTTGCATCAGCAAGCAGTGTGCACTGCAAAGGAAATCAAATTGCAGTTGTAAAGAATGTAAGGAAAATAAAAGAAATCGTTTTTTACTGATCAACCCGCCGAATGGCTGAAATCATTTTTTTTTATTTCAATGCACTAATTTGTCCTGGTGTGAGATGAAGAATGGAAGACCTGTTTGCATTATCACACAATGCAAAACAGGACCCATAATTGGGACTTATTACTCTGGTGGACTCTCTCTTAGCTGCCAGAAATTGCAGAGGCGGAGAAGGTCTGTTTACTTGTTCCTTCCCTTTCCGCCCATGTGTCTTGAGGGGGTGTGGGACGGTAGGGGAGGTGCAGCGCCAGTTAACATCAGCCCAGTCAGGGGGGGGAA